TTGAATTAATATTGGTAAATGTATATATCATCCAAACACATCCCTGTATTATAACTCTGACTATTAGACGTTAGAAGTAATACTAGATGATATATTCATACTGTATCCTCAAGCCATAATTATATTGCTTGGAGATTTTAATGCTAAATTAGTACTTTTGAGTTTGCTCAAAAGAAAGGATTCCCAAAGGAATTTCTTGATAATCATCCTCAGTGGCTTTCTAGAGACAAAAGTAACACTGCTAGTCTGTTCCTAGTCTCTTTAATTTTCAAAGGTAGTCTTCAAATCTTGGGAGGTAAGGATAATATCTATATATACCCTTACACGTACCACTCAGTCCACTCAAGTAGCGTGTTAGATCTCTTCTGTGTATCAAGAGATAAAATTATCATCTTTTCAGAGGTTTCCCTATATTTAGGTCAAGGGTCTGCAACTTTAAACACTCAAAGAGCCATTTGGAGTCATTTCCCACAGAAAAGAAAACACTGGGAGCCACAAAACCGGGGTGGGCATGGCCAACTCAACATCACTTCCACCCAGTTACATGACCACCACTCCCAGCCATGCCTACCCAGGTTTTGTGGCTCCCCATGTTTTCAGTGGATAACGGGTCTCTCTCTCTCTCTCTCTCTCTCTCTCTCTCTCTCTCTTTTTTTTCTTTCTTTCTTTCTTTCTTCGATAACGGGTCTCTCTCTCTCTCTCTCTCTCTCTCTCTCTCTCTCTCCTTTCTTTCTTTTTCTTTCTTCCTTTCTCTCTCCCTTCTCTCTCTCATTTGTTTCCCTCTCTTTTTCCTCTCTCTCATTCTCTCCCTCCAGCTCTCTCTTGTTTTTCTCGCCTCTCCCTCTCTCCCTCCCCCTTCTCTCTCTCTCAATTGTGCAACTGGGTTGGCAGGAGTGAGGTCAAATAGCCACATGCGGCTCTGGAGCCATGGGTTGCCAACACCCGATTTAGGTGATGCCTGCTGTTATTCTTCAAGGGAACAAAGAAAGAATGAAAAAACAAGCTAATTACATGCACTCCTTAGTGACCTCTTTGCTAGGATTGCAATGAGAATCTTTGAGCCAGATTCAGAAATAAGTTTAGTCAGAATAAAACACGGTGATTTCCCTCACCCTCCTTTTGTTCTAGAAAAGAATGAAGCTTTGGTTTATGTAGTGTGTATACAACTTAGATCATACTCACAAATTGATGATTATTTTATGTAAAAGTAATAGTTACTAGTTCCAGATTTCTCTAATTATGTGCTTATTTTTACTTTGTTAATATTGTTAACAAATTGTTAATACTGTTAACAACTTAAACAAGCAGTTGACAGTTACCAGTAAATGACACTTTAAAAGTCTTTTTCATATTACCATATTTTTTAAATATAAGACGCACTGGAGTATAAGACGCACTAAGGTTTTGAAGAGGCAATTTTTTAAAAAAACGTAGGTAGGTAGATAGAGGGAGAGAGAGGGAGAGAAAGAGAGAAATACAGTAGGTAGGTAGGGAGAGAGAGAGAGTAGGTAGGTAGGTAGGTAGGTAGGTAGG